CACATTGGTTGTTCAGTAGCATGTTGTTGAATCTCCACATATTTGGCTTTCTCCAGTTTTCTTGTAATTGATTTGTATTTTCATGTTATTGTGATCAGAAAGATGCTTGATATGACTTTACTGTTCTTACATTTATTATGACTTGTTTAGTGGCCTAACATATGAGCCACCCTGGAGAATGTTTTCTGTGTGCTTGAGAAGAATGTATATTTTGTTGCTTTTGGATGGAATGTTCACTGAATGTCTGTTAAGTCCATCTGATCTAACCTGTAGTTTAAGGCAATTGTTTATTTATTAATTTTTTGTGTGGATGATCTAGTCATTGCTGAAAGTAGGGTATTAAAGTTCCCTATTATTGTATTGCTGTATATTTCTGCCTTTAGGTTTATTACTATTTGCTTTCATAGTCGCGAACATAAATATTTTAAAATGTTACATTTGTTGTTGGAGTGACTCCTTTATAATCATATAATGACGTTCTTTGTCTTATTACAGTCTCTGTATTAAAGTTTATTTTGTCTGATATAAGTATAGCTATCCTAGTCTTTTTTGGTTTCTATTTGCATGAAATATATCTGTATTTTATCCTTTCATGTTCAGTTTTTGTGTCCTTACATCTAAGTGAGTCTCAGAGACAGCATTTTCTTTTTATTTTAATATTAAAAAAATTTTTTTTTCCTTTATTGATTTTAGAGAGGAAGGAAGAGGGAGAGAGAGAGACAGAAACATCGATGAGAGAGAACATGTGCCCTGACCAGGAATCGAACCAGCGACCTCTTGGTGCATGGGTTGATGCTCAGTGAGCCACACTGAGTTTTCCTTGAAACTCAGATGTTTCTATTAGGTAAATACCTCTCTTAGTCTTGAAAGAGTGGTCTCATGTAGGAGATGAACCTTATTGTTTAACCCTGTCCAGGCTGTTGATCGTCTCTCAAACCGTTGTAATTGCCCAAAGAGCCTACTTTATTCTTAGTGGCTCCTAGTAGTTGTGGGTATGCCAAGACCTGCCAGTGTCCCAATGGATAGGACCTCAGTCAGCACCTAGATTCAGGCTGATTGGAAGCAGAGTCTCAGGCAGCAGTTTTTTAAAGTATGGGAATATGCCTCTTTCCCAGGAATACTGGGAGGAGAGTGTTTGTCCCTTCCTTCCATCCTGAGCTTTGGGGTTATAGCCAGTTAAGTTGTTGTTTATGGTCGTCTAGTTGAACCTGTGAACACAAGCCCACTGGCCAATAGGGCTAGACTATCAAGGGATGTGTCCTCTGGGCAGCAGCCACAAAAACTGGGGTGCCAGGTGTGTACATAAGCTTCTTTAAAGGAGACACAGGTACCCTTGGGCTGGGCAGGGTGAGAGTACCGAGATGGCACCTGCTGGCCTCCCCATTCTGAAGAGGATGTGTCAGCCCCTGGATGTGTGTGAATTAGAAACCTGTCCCTTAGGCCACAGCTAGGACGACCAGCTAATTGTACTCTTTCACAGAAGGATTGGGATGCTTCAGTCTGCTGAGTGTATGCTGTGCCCTGGGGTGGGGGCTAGTTTGTCAAGAACTGTTTCTCACCTGACTGAAGTGTCTTAGTTGGTGCTATGCCGTCCCATTCACCAAGAGGTCGCCGGTTTGATTCCCAGTCAGGGCACATGCCTGGGTTGCAGGCTTGATCCCCAGTGGGGGTGTGCAGGAGGCAGCTGATTGATGTTTCACTCCCGTTCCAGTCCCACACTTAAGCCCTGCTGGACACCAGAGCCAGGCAATCAAGACTGGGGGGTCTTCTGGGCGGCTGCCTCAGACGTGTGCACGAACTCCTTTTCTGGAGATGCCAGTGGCCCTGGCATAAGGCAGCAGAGGGTGAAGAGAGCACCTGCCCCCTGAGGTCTCTGGAGGTGATGCTAGCTGGCCTTTAGGTGTTCACTAGATGCCCAGCCTTCAGGCTGGCCCTTTAAGATATGCCAGGCCTCTTTCCTAGAACGACTGGCACTTTTCAATCAGCTGTCTCTGCTGGGCCCCAGGGTGGGTGAGTCTGTGGGTGCGAGCCCTTTAACTGTTTCTCAGATTGCTGTAGCCTTGTGGGTCTCATGCATGCAAGCCCCTTGGAATTTGAAGTGAGATGTTTGGGGGGGCACCTCTTTCATTTGCAGGTCTTAACAGTTGGGGTGCTTGATGTGGGGTTTAAACCTTTTCACTCCTCAGGGAGAAGCTTCGGGTTGAGTCCCCTCCCAATTGTGAGTGGCTCTGCCAAGGGGGAGAGGGGCAAGATTGTGTCTCTGCCTCTCCTTTCTGTTTCAGTGCATTTCTTTCTCATTCGCCCAGTGTATAGGAGCCGCTCAGCTAGATTTGGGTGCCTTTCAGAAAATTGTTCTGTAGGTAGTTGTAGATTTGGTATGTCATCCTCCTCCTATGTTGCCGTCTCGAACCTAGAATGCTGTGTATTGAATCTCTAAGGAGGGGATAATGGTATATGGTCAGAGAATACTTGCACCTGGGCCTTCACATGAACTGATATTTCCACGCATACCGACGTAAACTGATATGGTTTTCAGACTCTAAGAGGGCCCACTATCCCCACTTCCTGGTGTACACACACCTCTCAGCTGTGCACTCACACACATTGCTTTGAAGTGATTTTGCCGACATAATTACATCCCAGATCCAGTGATTTGTAAGAGGGATTGTCTGAGTGGGCTTGACCTGATCAGGTGACCCCTTAAAAGGGATTGGGCCCCTGTTGCCAAGAGACTCAGAGAGTGAGAGGGGCCTGTCTCAAGGGAGATCCTCATTGCTGATTTAGGAGATGACAGGGAGTACAGGTGGCCTGGAGGGTTGGGTGGGCCCTAGCTGACAGACTAACTGAGACTGTCCCACAGCTACAGGGAACTGCATTCTGTCATAACGGCTGCAGCTTGGAAGAGGATCTTGAGCTCTAGATGAGCACGCAGTTTAGTGGACACATAGATTTTAGCCTGTAAGAACCCGAGCAGAGAATCCAGCCCTGTCGTGCCTGAACTTCTGACCTACAGATCGGTGAGCTAAGACGTGAGTACTGTTTTAAGCCTCTGTTTGTACTAATTTATTACAGCAGCAATAAAAAATGAAAACTGAATATTTTGCTTCACAAAATTGCAACTGTTATTTGTTAAATATTTATTGATGTTAAATCCACATTACACCAGCACAACAATCCAAAGTAGTAGGATAGTACTATTTTTTTTTTTTTTATAAATACAACATAAAAAGGTGGCAGAATAATGCTACTTAATCCCAAGCCCAGCAAATTAGCAAGAAGTCACATTCAGAAAAATTTGGCAAGGAAGATATGACATAAGTCATAATACTACAATATCGGTAGGTCCATGAGGGACTTTGCATGGTATCTTCAGTTCTATATTAGTAATGCACGTGAGTGTGGTCAAAGAAACCTGTACCACTGCATAGAACATTCTCCACCCAGTGCTCAAGCCGGTTAATCATTTAAAACCTGGTTGGTGTTCTCACAGAGAAGTAGAAAGCTGTACATGTGAAGCAGTAATATGAAATACATGGGGTGGTACACAGATATAAAATTACTTTAAAAATACTATGTATTGAATTGAGTAACTGAGCTAAGAGAGTTCAACATCTTAATTATAAATAATGAAAAGATATACGTGATTTGCATAAGGAATACAGTGTTTTCTTTTCATGGCAAAGTACCATAAGCCTCAGTTTTATATTAGGCCAAATTGTTTTTTCTTCTTTTTAACGTTTATTGGCTCCGACTTAAAACCATCAAGTCTGGTCAGAATCAACTCAGTCTAGCTGATGCAGAATCATATGCATTTAAAAATTAGTCTTTGCTGAGATGCCTTCACAAACTACTCAGAACCCCGCACCTTCTTAAAGCACGGTTTTATGGGAGCGGGGTTGTGACCTGATTTTCTATTCGCTTTTTGGTGCCACTGAAAAAAATACATTATGGCCCAAACCTGTTTTTGTCTCTCCTACGTCTCCATTTCCCTCAAGTAGACAAGACGCTACAGGCAGTGTCTCCTTTACGCCAGTCTTGCAGTCTCAGTCCATTTTCAACTTGCTCCAAACAGCCCAAGTCTTTAGCTGCCACACTCACGTCAGACGCACGGAAATTTCACAGCACATGTGCCCCGACTTCCAGCTGACCCTAGCTCCCCTGCCTTGTGATGGCAGTGTCTCTCACCTACATGTTAGAATAATTGTCAAGAAAACCAAAGAAAAGCCTGGCCTTTAACATGTCTCCCGCCCCTTCTACTTCCATAACTGAATACACTGTAGTAGGTATGGTAGCCTTTTCCTCCGTTCTTCTCCCTACTTCTTTCAAGCCTGTGATTCCTCAAATTCTATGTGCCTTGGTCATTTGGGTGCTCGGATGCTTTCCCTGGAATGGACTGTAATAGATTTCTGCTCTATTCAGAATACTTTATATTATTTATATTTAAATTAGCCTTTTAATATGGTTTGTAAATAAGCTTTCTACCTAGGTAGCATGAAAAGAAAATAAAACACATAAAGAAAAAAAGGTCAAGAACTAAGGTATTACTCTTATTAGAAAACACTTGATAGTATTAAAATTTAAGGCAAGTAATTCCTTCCTTATGACTTAGTATAAAACAATTTGCAAAGACAAGGCGTTAACTTGGATTTCTTTCCTCTTCCTTTCCGTCCCTACATATTGCACGTGGTTCACCGGAGCTGTGTGAGCACACTGCCGCTTCAGCATCGTGTAGTCCTACTCAGGGCGCAGTCGCCTCCTGTGAAGCTGTCCACACCATCACGCTGCGCAGCACCTAACGCTCGTGTTCAAAGACTTTTGATAATACGAATTGTGGTTACCTTTGGACAGTTGGTTTCCTTTAGCATTTTGGCATTTCAGACCACTTTAATCACAGCAATTCAAAAGGTTTTTCTGTGCAATGTGTACATTTCTATCAGTATCACCTATTTCAACTCTAAGTTTGGTATATCAAGTAAGAAAAATATTATTATTATTTTTTTATTTCTTATAGTCAAAGGTACGTTTTTGCCTGTTACATAGTGTGACAAAGGCACATGCTGGTCAAGGCAAGGCTGTTTCAGTGTTTCAGCTTTAACAAGAATGTTGGTTACAGGTCCTCACTCTCCACTAAGCCGGCATTCAGTGTCAGGTGAGATGGGTTGGCTTCAGGTTGGAAGGCTGCTTTGATGTCTAGTCCCTGGTCCGAAAGTGCTGCATAGCGACTGGCTGAGGGGCGTACTTTTTTTGGCTTGGTGCTCTGTGGCTGCTGATGCCACTGGGCTAGAAAAAAAAAAAAAAAAAAAAAGATCTGTTAACCAAGATTACTGGAAAGCCCTTAGATGTTTCAAGTAAACACTTAATGTCTTTGACATATACCAGGCATGTGTTCTTTATGAAACACTGAACACATCCATGGTAGAAATCCTAAAATCTAAGGATAGTTTTACGTTTTACTGAGATGTTGCAGATTTATTGTCTATACAGGGTATTGAGATTATAAGAGCTAGATAATAAAGACAGAGGTTGTTTATCTTTATTTCAAAGTCAGTATTTGCTACAGCACAGAGAAATCCTTTGAAATAGTCTGAGTTTCCTAATTCACCTCTCCTTTTAAAAAAATTTTTCAGAGTTCATACTGTATAAATGCCACAATAATTAGAGTAGTTTGGTATTCTGGATGGGTCTTTTAACACTAAATAGAAAGGAGCTGGGCAGTAGGGAAGGTTGAGGTCACTCATTGTTTGAAAAACCTCATGAAGTTATTTCTTACTCAAGAAGAGATAAATTCCTAATTTTTTCTAGTGTTTTTCTCTACATCAATAGATCACATAATGCTACTGTACTAGTTTGTAAATTCAATAAAAATGATTTTCTTTAAATTTAGGATGCATGTACACAAATACACAAACAATCACAAACCTATTGTTCAGCTGCTTAAGCTATATTAATGAGAAAAGCACTAAGCCACAAAAGTATGCATTCCAGGATCAATGGTACACACATTTAGAGTGCAGTAAGACACTGTGATAGGATTATACTACAAAGAAATGTTTGAAAAGGGAGTCATTTGCAAAACACCGTAACAAGAATAATGTGAAAACCGTGGTTATGCCTTTGCCTACTGTTAACGCCTAAGGAAGCCACACTGACTAGCCAACATGCATATTTTGCTAATGATGCAAAGATCCTGCATGATACTTGGGTATTTGTTCTCCTGGTGTAGTTCACTATTAATGCTGAGAAACTACAAATAGAAAGAGAAAGAGCAATATGAATTTTTTTTTTGCAGAACAAAAGCACTACAGTTGTTTATAAGATTAAATAACAGTAATGTGATTTGCTGTCCAGATGTCTGATTTTTCCTAATGTAATGAATAAATGCAATAAGATGAAGTGGCACTCACTGTAAACGTCCAGCCTGGCAGTACAGGACACAATCCCTGCTTCATTCTTGGCTGACACTGTGTACCACCCGGCGTCTTCTTTTGTGGCTCCCTGAATGAGCAGGCAGATGTAGCCATGATTATCCTGGTGCATGCTGGAGAGAAAGATAAAGCCATTAGGGTTCTAAATTTTTAAAAAGTGGCTTTGGACACGAAGCATCATTTTTAATTAGATCATTAGAAACAGAATAGTGCGAGTAGGTGATAATAGGGTCATACTTATTCTGGAGAGGCTGCTAGCCCCATTAAAGTTAATGGGGGAGAAGCGTAGACGTCAAGGGGTCGAATAAATCTGTGCACTTAATTTGTAGTTAAGGCTCTGCCTTTACCAAACCACTGAATAGTTTCTCTATCACTATTGCAGCAAATGAATTCATCTTTTCTTTTAGATACAAAGATAAACACACAAAATCACCGTAAGATTAAGTTAAAAATGTGCTTCATCACATGCTATTATAATGTCTTTTCTAAAAGCTTAATCACACATTGGGTGAAGAGTGATTTGTCTTTGATGTCATCAGTAGCATGACTCTTAACACAGATTTATGTGCTATATAAACCGTGTTTTCTGTGTGTCACTAGGATTCAGTTACGTCGTGTACTCCCACCTCACTCGGTCAGTGCTGTGAGTGAGTGATTCATTTTCTTTCTTCCAAAATATCTGAGGCGGCGGCACTCCCGAAACACGGCATTCCAGTCGCACGGGGTACCCATCAGCAACACCGGTGTTTTGCAGCTTCTCGATAAACACGGGGGGTTTGTGTGCTTCTTTAGCTAAGAGAGTAAGACAAGAATTATCGCTCTATCAGTGATAGACAAAAGGAGCACTACAAAGAATTCAGAAGCTTTTTGAAACATTGCTTAAACAGATTTTATTTTCTGATACTATTTGTCACGTCAGGTGGTACGATGCTAGTCCTCTCTCCAAATTATTCTTTCACCAAGAAAGGTTACTATGCTTCATTCCACTCGTTTGTTTCCTCAATTAATTCAAGTCTGACAGGCCCACAGAGTCCACTAGCCATCTGCTCCACAGAATGCTTGTCTGACAGACTGTGTGAGTCTCCCAAGTCATTGCTGGCATCTGGGACAGCCTCACTACTAATTATGTTACCCTGCAGGCACAGCCTTTACCAACCACTGCCCCCTAGTGACGCCGAGGAGGACGTGTTCCTGGGAACTGATCTACTTCGATTTCTCTCCCTGCTATCGGAAATGTTTGCTGCAATCAGCGAGAAAGACCATACGATTCAAAAGAGGAAAAAATAAGGAGAAGGCAGCTTGATCTAAATTTGGCAGATTTAAATAGTTACCTATAAATTACAGATTCCGGTTTACATTCTTTGAAATGCTATGAAAAGACAACTTTATTATCTTGAAGGAAGGAAGCCATAGAAAAGGATAATGTCATCAGTCTGAAAAAGTCAGAGCTGATGGTTAATGACACTCTAATACATCACCATACAATGGGATATTGTTTTCTTGGATCTGAGGTGGAAACAATCTCAGGGAATAAGGTTTAGTTATTTTCTTCTGCGCTACCAATAAAGAAATTTGAGGAAGCGTGTCTTTCTCCACCCCTCCCTGTCCTCTGGAGTGAGACATAGCGGAGCAAAGCAGGCGGCGCGGAGACCTGAAGGCGGTAACTGTTCTACCTGAAACTGTCAACTGCCCAAGAGTGTCTAAGGCTTCGAATTATGTAGAGGGTTGTGTTTCTATTGGACTTTACATGGTTACTTGACCTAGGCTATTTTGGGGAAAGTAGTAGTAGTATTTTTTTCCTGGATCTTAATTTTGAAAAGAAAAAGTGTCTGTGTCACAGCACCTCTCCAGGAAGAGCGGCAGCGGCCACCGTGATGCCCTGCTATGCAGAGCCTCACGGATTTAATCCTTGTAAAACACGAGGCACCACGGTCCCCATTTCTCACGTGGGGAAACGAAGTTCCGGAAATGTTATTTGCCGAAGGACACAGCCAGTAAACGAGAGCTGGGACTGGAACTGAGATCTGACATCAAAGACTTTGCTTCTAACGGAGACGTCTCTTAGACCTCAAGTGTCAGTCCTGAGGACAGATGGCACATTCAGGAGAAAACCAAGGGGTTTTAGTCTGATGAGGAACAGTTAGAGGAAAGAATGCAGTCAGTCCTAGTGTTGTAGTAAGACTGAATACTGTACACAGAATGGTAAAGCAGAGCATGGCTACACAGCACCACGGTCCACGTGTGCAGTGCTGCCCCCTTCTTCAAGGAGCTCAGAGGCCTGCGTGTTTGGAAGAGCACTGGGCGTCAACAGACTGGCCCTCAGCTGACTGATGGGACCCTGGGCAAGTCACTCAATCTCTCTAGTTTCCACATCTCTGAAATCAGGAAGAAAATTTGCTCTAGTTATCTCATAGGGCTGTTCCGAGGACTAACTGAGATCGTGGGTATGAGGCGCTTTGCAAATAGAGGTAGTATGAGAAATAAACATTTCATTTCTTTTTTTAAGAGAACAGATATCAGAATCTGTACTTATGTTCAACTCCTAAGGATACTGTAATCCTTTCCATGAATATACTGTCCTTATCTAACTGTAAGACTTCACATAACAATGCTTTTACAAAGTTCACCTAACAGTATAATCAATTAAAAAGCAAATCTGAGTTTAATTTCATTGTGACATGGGGGTAATGGAAGGGTAAAATTTTGTATTCCGAAATCTGTGTACATTACATTGCTTTAGAAGCTAGGTATGTCTGCAGGACTCCATGCATAAGCAGATTCTTATACATCGAGTTTCCTTGGAGCCCATGCTGCTCCTGCCCTTCCCTATGGAGCACCGAGGACAAACACAGGCAGGATGACCCAGAAAAGCCAGACCCTTTTCTGTCTCGGCCAGGCTAGTGGGAGAAAGGGAAGGTACATAATGGCTACGCTGAAGAGAAATTAAAGTTTCTGATTTGCTAAGCCTTATAACATGTCCTAATTGGCTATTCTGATGATACAATCTATTTTTTCAGCAGTTTATTTTCCACATTGGTTACTGATGGAGGATTAGTTCACATTTCTAAATCTGACGGTCCTTCCTGGAGACAGGGTTCGTGGCTGAGCCCACCTGCAACCACCAGCTCCAGGCTGAAGGAGTTCTGCCCCGCGCGGTTGGTGGCGGTGCACGTGTAGATGCCGGCGTCCCGTGACGTGACTGGCTCTATGATCAGAGAGTGCACCCCGTTCTCACGCACCAGCATCTTGTGAGCACTGTCGGGGCGGACTGGCTTTCCATCTAGTTGCCAGCTAAGATCTGGGGTTGGCAACCCACTGACCTAAACCGGAAAGAAAATACATTTAAATTTCTCTAATATTAATGAAATCAGTAGCTAAGAAACCAGCATAAATTCATCCTTTGGTTGCACAAAAGATAGCTTTTAGTATCAATTCAGGTTACTCTTTTGCTTAAAACTTTTCAGTGGCTTCCTAAGCACTCTAGGGCTCACTTTTAAATATTTCTTACAGAGCAGCCTAGAGAAAAATGAAATGAGGATTAAGAAAACTTCTGTCATCATCTTACCTCACCAAGGCTTATAAAGATTACTGGGATGATGTCAGCACAGGGCCCTGAGCTCTTTGAAAAAAAGGTGTCCAACCATAATAACCATAACAAATACTCAGCTGGCATGTGCACACTGTGAAGCTTCTCATCAGAGAGTTGCCATAGCTATGGAGGCTTTAGTTAATGCATCCATCAGTAAGTAGGGCCATTACTGTTATTTGATAATCCTTGAAACTAACAAGAACAATATGAAATTACCCAGAAAGCCATATCAAAAATTAGCATCACAATGGAAACATCATACAGTCTTTAGACCATGACGGTTGTGGTGACCAGGGATCAGACAAAAGCACATTTAATTGCTAATAACAAGTTGTGCAGCGAAGGGTGGGGATGGCTGCCATCTGTCAGCTCTCTAGAGCTTCGCCTCTGATTCTGAATGGGGGGAAGCATCAATAAGGAAGGCCTTTGCACCCACCCCCCCTTTACTAGTGGGAAATTACATACAGAAAGATGTCACTTGGACTGCAAAACAATTTTTTTGAAGACTCAGCTCTGCCAAAATCAGCCAGAGAACTCATAAATTCCATTCCTGCTGCGTGATACTCATTCATACTACCTAAAATATGCCTCCCCCTCACGTGCCACAAAGGTCTGGAGAAGCTAAAGGAAATATATTGAGGAAATTTAAATTACTGGTTAAAAGGATGAAGAGATTTGGGAAGCAAACAGCAGTAGTTAGGCAGCATGGCTTCTGAGAGGGTCAAGCTCTGTGTTCTCCCATCTGTCCACATGCCCTGCTTTAGGTCACTGGAAGGAGAATGCAGAAGGAGGACTGGATACTTCTGCCAGGTTCCAGGCCTTCCCCAAGTTTAGAAATAGAGTGGCACTGCTCGTTCCCACTGGACTGGGCTACGGCCCAGACAAGCAGGACCACGTACCGCTGAGGCCACGGGATGTTTAGTAGGAGAGATGCCTGAAGCACCGTGCACCTCGCCCACCTAATTCACAGTGCACCTGTGCAGTGGACAGCCTTCTTCACTTGAAGGCAAAGGGAAATGTCTGATTCTACTACCCCTTTTCTTACCCCAGCCTTCCTGGTTGCATAAGTAAAGAAAGGCTGATCTCAGGGATGTATGGTCATTATAGTCAGGTCATAATTTAAATAGATCTTTCTATACTTTTTGTAAAAACAAATAATGCCTGAATCCCTTAAACCTTACAGGGTGGGGCAAAAGTAGATTTACAGTTGTGAGTGCATGAAAAGATTTATTCTTGTATTATTATTATTTTCCACACGAGTAACTAAAACCTACTTTTGTCTCACCCTGTATATTTGTGTTTTGCAATCCCAAAGACAACCAGCAGAGGGAGCCCAAATTTTTAAAAACCTTACACATATTTAAGAGCTAACTTTTAAATTTAAGATCAGTAAGTAATGGGGCAAGCAAACAATCAAAAAGGTTTTCAGAGCAGTGGTGTTTAAACATTTTTAGACTTAAGCTCTTTTGAGAAATTAATGAAAGCTGTATCACACACAGACTTTATATGAATTTCAGTATTCACACATGCAATGAAACCTGACCTCCCCGAGTTGAGACGCCCTACTGTAAAATGGGTGAAAGAAAGCTGTCACTCTCGCTTCTTAGAAATAGAAAATGGGAGGAACAGAAGTCAGTAGATACATGCATATAAAATTTGTACGCATAAACAGTGAGGCTCAAGTAATTAATGATTAGGACATATGACTGATTAATACATTTATTACTTCAACAAAATGAAAAAAGGGGGGGGGGATCAAACTTCCCAGTGACTTTCTGGAGTGTGGTACATAAGGTTCTAAGTAACGAACATATTTATTTTTATTTTTATTTATTTTTATTTTTGGTACGTGCCCCTAGTGGTAACCGAACCCGGGACTCTCTGGTCCACAGGTCGATGCTCCAACCGCTGAGCCAAACCGGCCAGGGCATAACGAACATATTTAATAAACATTTATAAGTAAAGGAAAAAAACAGTGTATAAACATCTCATATATTTCACTTGAGTTTTTTCCCTTCTCTGAAGCTGGAACACATGCTAAAGGTGTCTACTTTATATCATTTCCCCAAAAGAAGCTAAAGAGAATTGGCAACGAGGGAGAAGGGAGACAACGATACTCTTACTTTGCAATCCATTCTGCAGAGTTTTCCTTCTTGAACAGTCAGATTTCCAGGAGCCTGCAAAAAGTGAGGTCTGAAGAACCGCTCCTGAATTGGTTCATTTTCATCGGCACTGTCCCTTGATCTAGAACGAGGCCTTAGAACAGGAGAGACGACAGACAGTAGTTATTTCTAGGCTCTTAGTCACCTTTTTTTTTAAGTAATACATGGGGTAATAATATAATACCCTGGCTTCTCTTTTCTACCCCCAAGGTTTACATATAAAAAAGTTAGCAAAGCAAAATCTTGTTTCCTTTGGAAGTTTATTAATTTAGCAGTTTGCTAATAGCACATCTTAAGTAATTCTGCTCCCCTAATCTTTAAAGGTAGTATAAATCATAAAAGGGGAGATGGGAGAAAATAGGGTACTCTATATTCATGGTTTTTTTTCCTAAATAAATATTTTTAAAGCTGTATGATAAATAGCAGTGGTTGCTCATTTATTTATTACCAAGTCTTTTTGAACAGAAATTACTATTAATGTAGTAATGGAAAAATTATTATTTTATAAAAATTTAATATCTTTCTAATCAAAATTCCTTTCCATACTAACCAGGGAAACAAATGGCATTTTAAGGCAGATTTTCTTTTACATTGGATATCCATGTACCTACAGATACACTTTCAAAGCACGAGCAGGGAAGACTTAAGGAAAGAGCAAGACGTTGAATGCACGTCCTGCCTGTGATCATTAGAAAAGTTAGAGTGGAACAAACGGAAGATTGGTACAGTAGGCTAATGACCATCAGCTTTTTAATATACTGTACTTTCTACAAGTACAGATCTAATTTTTGAACAAAATGCTTTTGTAGGAGACGTGGCAAAGTTTAAAATATTGAAGTCCATATGAAAAGAAGAAGAAAACAACACCAGAGAATGGATGTGCTACTAAATGTGTGTGTTTACAGCCACAGATGTGGGCCTAGAATCCTATGAACAGATGTTGCCACAAAGAAGTCGGAATTACATTTGCACATGCTTAGGTGCCAGAACCGTCTTCCAGATGCGGAGCAAAGTGCTCTGCGGGTCCGATCCCAGGGGCAGTACAGTCACACCAGTTTTTGGGTGCATACCCTGTTCTTCCTAGTGTCTTCTGTGAGCCGAACATAGTACTTGTTCTCTTCACCAAAGGTGTTTGCACCTGTGGCCTCTATTTTACTGTCAGGACTATTTGCTCTGTCTGTAAAATATCTAAATAGTAACCCAAGATGACAGGCTGGCTGACATACCATTTTCTTTTCTAAGTGCAGATGTGTTACTAAGAATATCCTTTTCCCATCCCTGCCCATCATTATTCCATCGGTATCCTTGCATAAACTCAGGGCGACTAGGAATGGGAAGCATACTCCATTGTTAGCAGATCATTGGTTGAGCATATAAAATATGAAAAATCTTACCTATAAGATGATGGTCTAAAATAAACTGTTTTGAACTAAGTAACTGAAAAATCAAGCTAGCTGATTTTAAGAAACCTAGTGGCAGTAGTTTATAATGGTCAATCCATACAGCTCTTGCTTTTGAACATTGGTGTAGCATTTACTAGTATTTTCGTTAATGTGCCTGCCATTTATTTAAAGGTGCTGAGTTTTGATTTCTTCACGTATAAAGTGGGCCCTATTTAACAAGTTAGTGATGGTGTGTCTGAGCAGGCTTAGCACACTTCAGTAAACGTTTGCTCCCTTCCCCTTTCTGAACTGCAAAGGAGCCAGGCGCTGTATATACTTTAAGGTTGTGTTCACATTCTCTCTTCGGACTGTGCTGACACTTCTGGTCACCATGACTCTAAGAGTGTTGAACTTACAGTAATAAAATAATAGTAGCACTTATGGAAAGGAACGTCTGTAGTACCTTCTGGCATGCGGAAGGCCTGAGGGGGAGCGGGGACTGCGACCTCTTTGGTTGACAGCCTGTACCATTAGCCGTCCAGTACAACTGATGCGGCCCTGTCAGAGACATGGGAAAGGAAATCATTGGTTCTGCAAAATAACTAACCGTTAAACACTTGATCCTCCTATTCTCCGTAAGACATTATCATCAAATCAATGTGCCAGCTTAGCAGTGACATCAACCCCTCTCGGAAATGTACTCTCCCTGAGTTAAATAAACTTTACTGTTTTATCTGGGATGGAATTTAAAATGACAGCCTCCCTGAATTAATTGTAATCTGCTAAGGTCTCCCTAACACACGAAGCTGAGTTGTAAAATACAGCAGCAGGACATTACTTTTCCGATGATTCCATTTTCATGGTCAAATAGCTACTGGTTATAGCTCATTTTGAAATCAAACTAGATGATTTTAGTTTTCCGTTAGATCTTTTCAGTAATATATTTATTCAGTGTTAGTAGTGACACTTCCCAAAACCATTTGTTACAAGAGATGCCGGCATGACAAAGTGAGCACTACGAGGTAAGTGCACACAGGGTGCCAAGGACACAGAGCGAGCACACGACACCGTGTGCACGAACCAGACATCTTGGAGATGTCATGACCCGAAGCAGTCAAGTACCTGCAATACGTGAATTATATGTAGGGGCCTATCTACTGAAAGCTACATTTTACCTCTGAAATTTGACAACTGAAAATTTGGTAAGTGCTGCATGTGGACAGACCAGAGCAATATTTACAAGACCCAGATGACACGAACAAATCACCCCTTGTTACTTTGGCTTTTTGTCGGAGCCCCTTTCTGAATTTCCCCTGCACTATACAAGCAGAGTGGCAAAATAGATGGTTTTCTCCTCCACTTTCTCCTCTCATCTCCCCGGAGAATGAACAGATGTACCTCTAAATTCTGACAATGGCTGAAAGGGAACAGCAAGGAAGGAAAAATGAGAAGCAGATTCATTATCTATCAGACTTAGGGGATTCTAGCTCAAGATTGAAGAGCGGCCCCCATGTGCCTTTATAGTCAAAATAAAATTTACCACTGACTCGCATTTTCATTCCACGTTGCCAGTATAGACAGATAGCAGAAGCAAGAGGTGTTCTGTATGGTCTGATGAACTGCTTTCTGAGCTCCACCTGTGAGTGGGCCGGGATGGGGGAAGGGCATGATGGAGGGAACAGGAGAAAACCCCACTGCAGGACTCAGTGGGGGCAGGGATCCAGCTAGTGGGGCTCGCCAGATCTCCCCAGGGCCTGGCCTTCCCGAGGGCCGTGACCGTTCAGAAAAAGCAAGGACACAGGAATGTAATGCAGACAGGAGAAGAATTAGGAATTACCAACGAGAAAGAAGTGGTCATAAGAAACTCTTAAGTAGTTTTTGTACCATTAGATATGTAAGTTCCTCTAGCATTCACAGTAGGTGCTGTCGAGGTCACAGTTCAAACACTGTCATTCCTGAAAATTTCCAAAAAGTCATGCAGTGTAACATTATGAAGGGGAATTATTTCTAACTTAGATTAACTGTAGCTCAAGTTCAGGCCACATCATATAGATTCTTGTATGCTGAGTTCTTGGCAGACAGTTGTGATTCCCTAAGCTAGCTTGAAATCTGAAATTAACTTCATCTAACTCTTCCAAATGTATACCGCTACAGAAAACCTGGTGACTTGCTTAGAAGACACCCATTATAAATCACCTGTCTGACACATCCTGATAGATACTTTAACAAGTGAACACGTAAGAGCCATGATTCTTTTTTTTATTTAATCCTCACCCAAGGACATTTTTGCATTTATCTTCAGATAGAGCAGGAGGAAGAGAGAGAGAGAGAGAGAGAAAGAGAGAGAGAAACATTGATGTGAGAGAGACACATCAACTGGTTGCCACCCACATGACCCCAACTGGGGCCGGGTCCAAGCTGCAACCAAGGTGCGTGCCCTTAGCAGGAACTGAACCCAGGTCTCTCTGGGCCAAGGGCCATTGCTATAACTGCTGAGCCAAACTGGCCAGGGCGCCATGATTCTTTTTGGAGCTTGAGGACAAGACAGTGTATGTTTTTTTTGTTGTTGTTTTTTTGTTTTTTTTTATCCTCACCCAAGGACATTTTTCCATTTTTTGTACAGATAGAGTGGGAGGGAGAGAGAGGAAGAGACAGAGAGAGAGAAACATCGACGTGAAGGGACACATCGAGCGGCTGCCACCGCACAACCAACCAGGGCCGGGGACAAACTGCAACCGAAGTACGTGCCCTTAGCGGGAACCGAACCCGGGTCTCTCCGGACCACAGGCCGATGCTCTAACCGCTGAGCCAAACCGGCCAGGGCTATGTTTTGTTTTTTTATCAAATACCTTAAACTGTACTGACATATGGGATGTGGCTTCCTTATTATTTTTTGTTTCAACAAATAATTTTAATTTGGATAGGTTAAAATAGATTTCTATAATCTGGATAGACTTTTTTCCCTTGTGGTTTAAAATCCAGAGGATCCACAAGGGAAGTTAATATTAACTAATATTTATGTAGTTAGAAAAAAAATCCTCTAATCTGGATTTGAGTCTAGTCTTGACTTTCCTAAAATTGTGGACAGATCCCTGAATTTATTCAAGCTTTGTTTCTTCTTCTGTAAAAACTGGGGTCTGGCTCATAAGAATCGTGTAAAAATTAATGATATAACCTAAGATGATACTGTAAATATGAAATGGTACAGTAGTCCCTCCCTTGTCCATGGGGCATACATTCCAAGACCCCCAATGGATCCCTGAAACCTTGGATAGTATTAAACTCTGTACGTTATGTTTTTCATATATGTGTGTGTGTGTGTGTGTGTATATATATTTATACATATATACACACATACACACACACCTATGATAAAGTTTAATTTATAAATTAGGACTAGTAAGAGATGAACAATAATAACTAGTAACAAAATAACAGTTATAACAATATACTGTAATAAAGTTATATGAATGTGGTTTCTCAAAATGTGCTGTCTGTACAGTGTGAATACGCTGGACAGGGACGATTCATGTCCCAGCGGGACAAGTGGGACATCACACTACTCAGTGCACGATTTAAAGCTTATGAATTGTTTCTTTCTAGAATTTTCCATTTAATATTTTTTGGACCACAGTTAACTGCAATTATTCAAAGTAAAACTGTGGATAAGGGGGACTAGAGTATCCGATGTCATTAAATTCACCATTGTTGGTACTGTGTCATTGGGTCTGAGACAGACATTATTTGTTCACCGACAAGGTGATTTTTAGGGGCCCCAGCAGCCTGGCTGACTCCAGTCTAATTTTCCAAGTGGATATACTTGGCTTAAGGTATGTTTACCTCCTTTTTAAAAATCCTTTCAAATACCTCTTTTAAGCAATGGCTCCCCTGCCCCTCAGTGCTCCTAATGCTGGGGTGAGCCCCAGGCACTTTTGTGTGACACGCCCGAGCTCTGTTTTCAGGCTGGGTTTGTAAACCAGTTCCGTCCTTTACAGCTGAGGGACTTCAGGCAGGTCGCTCGACTAAACTGCCTAAGTTTCCTTATCTGTGAAACAGAACCGTAGTTAAATCCCTCGTGTGTTCTTATGAAGATTAAATGAGTTAATAGTTGTACAATACTTGGTACTGTGTTTTGCATATACTCAGTGCTCAAAATGTTAAATTATTACAGCACTGAATATAGATGTAATAACAACAACCAGATGGATATGAAGCATCCTTCAGAAGTGGTTTGTTAAAAACAATTTTTTCTCCATGTAATGGAGTTCTTTCCCTCCCTCCCTCCCTCCTCTCCTCTTTCTTATTAGGATGTAATTTACTCCAAAGGGAAAACAAAAATACAAAATACTCTAGCACAGGAGGCAGAATATGTAGAGCGCATATGAAGCTTTTTAACTTTAGCTGGTGCTTGAAAGGTGTCAAGCACACAGGTGTACTCAAGGTGTGTGTTTGTGTGAGGGCTGCATGTGAGGTGTAAGATGAAAGGTAGCCTACCCCACTCTAACCTTCTGAGGATGCTTAGGATAAGCTCTGCCTCCTCTCCTGTCTTCAAAAAAAAGGGTAAACAGGTTGGCATACTACTATAAACATTACACATTTCTACAATGTTTTCAAGATTTTCACTGCTACTTCTTAGAACCGTATGCACAAATACTGCCAAAGATATTTCCTTAACTTCCCAAATTTAAGAAAAAGGAATGTTACCATTTGTCACCTTTTTTTTTTTTTAATCCTCACCCAAGGCCATTTTTTCCATTTTTTGTTCAGATAGAGTGGGAGGGGGGGAGAGAGAGAGAGAGAGAGAGAGAGAGAGAGAGAGAGGGGAACATCGACATGAAAGGGACACATCGAGTGGTTGCCACCTGCACGACCCAACCAGGGCTGGGGACAAACTGTAACCGAGGTACATGCCCTTAGCGGGAACCGAACCCGGGTCTCTCTGGACCTCAGGCCGATGCTCTAACCGCTGAGCCAAACCGGCCAGGGCCATTTGTCACCTTATAATTCCTACATCATTCTTCACTTCTGAACACAAAGGGGGAAAGGTAGAGTCTTTGGGGTCAGAATTATTAATTTGATAATAACAGCATTGGTTAACTTTAGGGTGGTCCCAAAGTAGGTTTATAGTTGTGAGCATGAGAAACATACACAGAGATTATTCTTGTGTTATTATTTATTAATCACTGAATTATTTCCATATGAACAACTGTAAACCTACTTCTGTCCCTGTATATTACCAATGAGTAAATGACCAGGAACATGTAAAAAGCATTTTAATTTGAAAAGAAAACCCAGAATTCAGTGAAAAGATGTCTCCAGTGTGCAGGTTTTTAAGTCTGAACGTCATACGAGGGAGAGCATGCAATATTAGCATTAAACAATTTTAATCAAACTCATGTGCCAGTTAACGCTAGTAATCATCATAATTATCAGGCTCTGGTGCACATTAATGCTGTTGGATTTGCTGTTAACGTTCTCATTTCTTTCTGCATCATTATTAACACATGAAGTAATAATGGAAGTGAATGTTTAAAGTGAAGCTTGAAATGAGTAAAGCAACCCTGTAATGCTAAACAAAACACAATCAACAAGCTATCTTTTTAAATTTAACTCAGCTGTGTTACTTTTCTATTCCAAACAAATCCAGAGTTTAAAGCTATAGTACAATAAGTTTGAATTCTTAAAGTGACTCTGTATTAAACTTCCCCTTGTAAAGATGATTTGATGCCCCAGGCAAGGCCAATTATTTATATAATATGGAAATAACATTTATATTCCCTAGATTATGAAATGTAACTTGTGGCACACAGATCTTCATAAAAGCTTGCCACTTGTATACATAATGCAATTTGAGGAAACATCAAACTGCAAAACAGCCATTCCCAAATCCAAGTGCAATACAGAGTAACTTAGCAACGCAACAAAACAAAGTAAAACATTCGTGTTTTGATTTAGTTGTATCCTAAAGGCAGGATTAGAGTCTGAAGTCAGTTGTGTCTGTGACCCTCATTTTGGCATCATGTTCGCTGCAACGCTATGCAGTCGCCTTATTTCACTCAACCGTGTGACTGCCTCGCTTTTTCAGGAATTGCCTGCGCAGCACACTGAGCCCCGCGGCCCCCACTGTGTGCTCTGTCCCAAGGAGAACTGGATGTAGTCAGCACTACCTAATGTATGTCCTATTCCCCAGAAGATTAACCCAGGTGGAAAAGTATTCCGAACTCGAGTGTTTTCCTCTTTCTTTGGTTCTCACCCTTTCTCTCTTGGCTGCTTTCTGTAATTATTTCCCACTGCTCAGGGAAGCGCTGCTGTCTGTGTCTCATTACTGAGCCAGTTTGCACAGCCTTTCCTCTCCCCTGTGGTCACATCATGTAGACTACAGTGCACCAGAAAAAAGAGGTGTCCTTGTCTCCCTTTCAAACCCAAATACTTTAAAAATGTGAACACTTAAGTACAGGGCGTCAAGGAAGTAGGGAGTCAACTTCAGGTTTTTGTTGACTATGTATCTTGAAAATGTTCGTTTTTACTTTTGAAATTTTTTTCAGTGCCTACTATGTCATGCTTCTTTTAAATCATGTTTTAGTTCACGAATTTTAAGAATGGCAAAATAGTATACAATAACAGGTGTTAAAAAGTTGAGACTATGACACTGTTACACATTTCTATTATGGTATTCCTGAGGCAACAAATGATAACTCGTGCCAAGGGTTAGTAGAAAATGGTCTGCCACAGGTCATGGTTTAAATGCCACTTTTCTGATGGGCAGTGAAGTCCAACCCTGTTTCTAGGTGACGACGCACAAAAGCTTCAGCTGGTATAATGGACATACATACCTGCTACGGGAGACCCTGAGATACGAAAGGAGTTTTACTCTTGAAATTAAAGTCAACCAGGCAACATGCTCAGAGACTTGAAACAGTGACTGACTACAACCAAGTGCTATAATTATAAAATTCTCTCAATTTTAGGCCTAAATGCCCACTTTTAAGATTCCTAGTTTCCCCTCCTATGCCTGCCTTTGGTCCTGTGGGTGGAGGAGATGTTAGCTCCGCCCCCTTCATTACAGTAATGGGCGGATCCACTAACCTGGAGGCATGGGAGTTCTAGGCACTAGGAACTGCTCTGGTTACTGTGACCCTGCGTCCTCGGAGTCCCTAGCTCCCTCAGAGCAGTCCTGTCACTATTCGCTTAATCACAGGTGAAATGGAGTCTCCTGTGAGAAGGGGGCTTGAGGCACCTGATGGAAACAGGCCCACTTCTTATCTTTCTGTCTTCTCCTGAGAGGGGAGTAGAGTCCAAGAACCAGAGAGGGTTAACGTGGGGCTTCTCCCCGGATTTGGCAAAGAGGTCACTGGGCCGGTGGGGAACGAGGGCAGTGACACGCTCTGGGGCCTCCTCTTGGCCTGAGCGTGCGGGGCGCAGAGCAGCTGCCCAGCTTCATGTGTGGCTGTCAGCTGCGCGGTGGGCGGGGCCTGCGCGCCCGCCCCGCCCCGCCCCCCAAGGCCCACAGCTGTGGCACAGCCGCGTCACCCTTTCCCACCCGGGTGTGAAAAGGAAAAGCCAGGAGCTCGGAAGACCACACACCAGCAACATTTTGGGTAGACATTCCATCCCAAACTGACTTGCTTACTGTGTCTCAGTCCTGTGGGAGCCGGGAACGGAACTGCCCCTTTCCATCCCAGTTCCACAGGCGTCTGCCGACTCCTTGGGCTGCTATTCTAAGACGGGGTCATTAGGGTCTTTGAATTAAAATAATGACAATAACTAGCATTTGCTGAAAGCACAGTATGTGCCAGGTACATGGAGTATTTTACATGTATTATTTAAACCCATAGCATCATTAGCATTTCACAGAAGAGGAGCAGCACAGAGAGGCTAAGTGGCCTGCTACAGACCAGTGGGTCAGGAGTGGCACTTGCAGCTGAGGTCTGCCGGCACCGGAGCCCACGCTCTTACCCCGAACGACGCTGTCCAGTGCTGTCAGCACCGCGCGGCGTTCTGGTCGTATCCCTTCCTCTTTTTCTGTTTACAAGGGGGATCTTCAGCGCCCCCTCTGATCTAATTGAATAGTTTCAATGCTCAGAGACCTCCAACCCTGCACACTGCAACCTGTGCGGTGAGACCTTCCCCTTCAGAACTCTTCTACATGTAAAAATTCATTAGTACAATCTGAAGACTAGAAGCAGACTCACAATCATAGTTTTACATTTTTGTTCTATAAAACGGCTTACTCCAGTAACAGCTTCAAACAGTTCCCAGGGAAAAATGCCTCAAAGTCAATAGCAGGATCCTGGTACTGCGTTTAAGGGACCCAGTTAATTATGTTTCCCTAACATATCCCCGCCTTTCTAGGGGAAAGAGGAATAAGGAACCCAACAGGAAGAAAAATTCACATTTTGTTGAGTTCTTCACTTTTAAAGAGGCAGAGAACCGAAAACACAGTAAGAAAAAGCAAGTTGAATGTTTGCTCCCTCACACACACAAATAAACATTAAAATGTAACTTTTTAGTAAAAGTTGTGATTTTGACTGTTTTTCAAGGTGATGGTCATGTATTCTTTGATTAAAAAACTAGAATCTCAAGAAAATGTGTTAATGTGGAAACTATCCGTTGACATGGAAGAGTTTGAGGTTCATTCTAATCTTAACATTACTGCAGAAATATCTTTATATAAAAATGTAATGGTAGGATAGGAAGAAATCTGAACAAACAAAAGTTTTAAATTTTGCTAAAATTATTTGTATCACCTTCTTACACTAAATATTTCCTTCAAAAGAAAAATGAAATGATATAAGTAGATCAGAGATTTTAAAAAAATGACTTCAGGACAACTTTCATTAGCTACATAATTAAAATTGTTCATTTAACTTCCTTTAAAAAAAAAAAAGAAAGCATGTTATTTATATGACTTCCGCAGACTTTGTGAAATTATCCTGACACATCGAGCTCTGAAGGTACAAAATCACTTCTTGCTCTTTTTTGTGTCCCCTGTACTGAGCATAGCAACTAAAATATATAAGATATGTGATAAAAAAGAATTTGCAGTTTGGAATGGTAACATGAACCAGGTAGCTGCCTATTAAATTCTAAGTAGTCAATTGATTTGTTAACTCTATCTAAGGGCAAAAACAAGAGAAAACATTTGGATGGAAACAAACAAAAAATCCTGAATACTACATAGTAGTCCCCTCCTTATCTGCAGGGGATCCATCCCAAGACCCCCAGTGGATGCCAGAAGCTATGGTTAATACTGAGTGCTATGTATACTGTTTTCCCTCATGCACACCTGTGATAAAGTTCAATTTATAAATTAGGCACAATAAGCAGTTAGCAACAATAACTAATAATAAAATAGAACAATGATAACAATAGTATAATAAAAGTTATGTGAATGTGATCTCTCTCTCAAAATACCTTCCTGTACTGTATGTATGAACAGCTTGGCTATGCTGGATAAGGGAAGATTCAGGACCGGGCAGGACAGCGCAAGATGTCAGCATGCTACTCAGAATGGCGTGAAATTTAAAACTTATGAATTGTTTATTTCTGGAATTTTCCATTTAATATTTTTGGACTGTAGTTGGCCACTTGTAACAGAAACCATGGAAAGCAAACCTGCAGATCAGAGGGGACTACTGTATATAGGCAATATCAGAATTAGAATGGACACTTACACACAACTCATCCTTTTCTCTTTGTTTACTTCATAACTTAATTTTATCTGAAATGATATTTTAAAAATTTATTTATTTTGTTTACTGACTTATTTTCTGTCTCAGACGTTGTCTTTTCCACCACTTTAACCCCATTACCTATGACGTAGGTGCACATATTAGGCTCTCAATAATATTGGTGGAAAGAATGCATGCCTGGACCAGAATTGCTCATATAGGAAAACTCTAGTGGAATAAATAAATGCACATAAAAAATTTTTTTCTATCCCCCAAAGCTGAGATAGATGTAGAAATTGAAAAAATAGTTTCAAGACAAAGAGGTACGACTCCAGCTTTTAATTACACAGTTCCTTTGTTCAAATATATGCTGTAAGCACCAGACAGATGACCTCTGAACCGCATGGTGGTTGGGGATGCTGAGCCCTGCAGTTAAAAAACCTGCATACAACCTTTGACTCCCCCAAAACTAATAGCCTCCTGTTGACTGGAAGTCTTAGGGATAACATAGTCAATTAACACATATTTTGTATGTTATCTGTATTGTATACTGCATTCTTACAATATAGTTAAGCTAGAGAAAAGAAAATGATAAGGAAGAGAAAATACATTTACAGTATTTACTGAAAAAAAAAAAAAAAGCAAAATAAAACACATCCATGTATAAGTGGACCTGTGCAGTCCACACCTGTGTTAAGGGTCGGCTGTACACAGAACTGAATCAAGACCTATACCCTTCTTTACCTGAGGGTTTGCAGCCATAATCGTGTAATTCCCATCATCGTCTAGTGTGGAGGCCGCGGTGTGGAGAGAGCATGTCCCGTCAAGATCTCTTTGAATGATGTAGTGATCATTCTTGGGAGAGATCTGCTTTCCATCTTTAAACCAATAGATCTGTGAAAGGAAACAAGATTAAAAATTGAGGATGTGTGTCGTACTACCCTGTTTGGGGGAAGTGATAAATAATAACTGTAGTCTGCAGAGCTGAAATGTTAACCAGAACATCTGAATAGGCAGCTGAGTTTTGAGTGAAAAAGGTAGATAACAAGCAAATTTAATTCTGTTTTAGTTTTTAAAAATTATGTATCTTTTACTTTCTCAATACCTACTTACATACTTATTTTTAGTCATATGTTATTTATATAGAGAGATCTATACTGAATGTTGACAGTGATTATTTTTCTTTTGACTTCTTTCTAATGTCAAATGTACTCAATTAAAATATATTACTTGTAAAGTGAAGGTAAAAAGGTTAGAGAACAAAAAACAGACCCAAATTTGAATCATTCCACTGCACCATTAGACAAATACAACGGGGGGTGAGGCCACAGTGAGGGGTGGTGGCTGGATATCTACTGCTTTAATTCTGGGTCAGGAGCATATGACCAGAGGTTGAAAGTTTGCCAGCTCTTCCCATCACGTTAAAGAAAACACACTCGTATTTAAATGTAATCATTCTCAAATAATATTTTAACTTGGGTTGATAGTAAAAAAATAATAATAATAATCCTGGTGAAATTAAAGTTTTCAAATGATCAAATGATCTCTTCTATAGATCCACCTTCTCTCACCTTTAGATAAAATCACTGGTCAATGGATCGCTCATAATTCAGTTATTATTTTTTAGTTAGTTTCTGAACTACACAGGGGAAAGTTAGGGCCATCATCATGAATCACAGTGCCAGCAGCCCTGGAGTGATTGAGATGCTGAATTAATGTCCACACCTACGCACCTCCAGACTTACCGTTAGAGAAGACAGTAAATCACCCCATTTTTAAGCCACAAGTTCTTGGTTGTCTGTTTTATTCCTTGCAACTAAAAGCATTCCTGACTGAGTCCCAAGAGAAGAAACCTCCTTTAAACCTCAGTTTTTAAAATGAACTTTTTCCTTAATATGAGTCAACATGCTAGTTGAGACCAACCACACTGGCATTCAAATTCAACTCCCTGTCAAAGACTTTGAATCTGAAAAACCTTTTTGAAACATCCATTTCCCAGGTAGGAAAAGGCCGGAAACATATGGAATTAAATAAGTGCATGAATAATTAGGGTCTGACTGCTGTAACTTTCCCAACCTCTATTTTTCAATTAGCTCCAAATCTATAGAAATTATGTTTTTTAGTTTCCAGAACCTAAAAATGAATCAACTAGATGAATAACTCTTAGTTCTAAAAAATCAAATTATATAAAGCATGATACTTCATAATTACACTCTCCTTAGTGGTTTCATGATTGCTGATGGAACAGAGAAGCTGTGATTAGTCTCCAATTACTTCCTTTTGCACTTTGCTGCTATGCCAGTTTTTCAGAATCACTTCTCTCCTTCAAGCATATATTTTTTTACCTCCATTATACTTGGAATACAACTTTCAAATGAAATTTAAGAAATAGTTCCAAAATTTTACCAAGACTGCTAATGGGAAAGGGGAGGAGAAGGTACAAGAAATGGAAACAGAGTGAATTAGAAATTTGTTTCAGTTTTCTCATGTCTCAGAACAAGCATGTCAAGGGCATAACAACTTTTTTTAAACATGAGCTTAAAAAGGATGTATTTTTAAAAACATAATGAATGTTCAATACTTTAATAATCTTAATGTAATTTATATATCGTGCAGAAAAAACAATTCTTCAATAAATCAGGGACGGAAGAAAAAGAATGGCAACGAGGGAAGGAGGGAAGACAAGGAAGGAAGGATGAGGGAGAACATCTCTAATGAAAAGTTCTAAAAAAAAATTAAGCCTCTTAAAGCTGTGAAACATTTAAATTTGTATCAGAAAACATATAGTGATGTTACAGACAACAACCCATCTTCAAGTTGAAGATAATATCCTTTAAGAATAGGAATCAATCTTAGAACTACCATCAGTGATCTTAAGAATTGAATAAAGTTTTAAAATAATATGGAATCCTTTTGTAAATATTTTGGAAATTCAAGATACAATTTCTTGTTTAATGTCATTCATAAGCTGCAAATTTTTGTTTTAATTCATGTATTTGGTGTTATGTTTGTGAATACACAGCAATTATCGAAATTATGCCAAGAATATAGTAAAGTTTTCTCTAATAACAGTTTTTTTTTTTAAGTCTCATTTAAATAGGGGATGGATTTGGGTTTGACAATTTAAGGTGTTTTTTTCCCCCATGTTTCTCTGACTGTGGGGTTGGGATTTGGTTTTAGGGGAAACTGTGGTGGTAAAATTTACCTTATTGAGAAAACAAAACAAGATGTACAGACACTGACACACAGAAGTTTCAGGTATTGTCCTATCACTTTCCTCCTCCCATCCGACTGATTCTCATTTCAGCTCGTGTGTTCTTCATTTCTGTGTGCTTATTTTGCAACTGTGCCTTGTCTTTGGTACTGTCCTGTTCTTTCTTAAACTTTCCGTTCCTTTAAAAATTGCTTCAGTCATTTTGAAGTTATTTTATAGTCTCAAGATTGTTCCACACTGTGTAATTGACTTCTGTTTCCCTATTTCTTATTTATTTCCTCATATGGGTTTGTAAGTTTTCACTGGGAACTCATTTTTCCTCCCTCCTACCCTGTAGAAATCTGATAGCCCCCAAATTGTGACAGTGTCCTATGGGTCAAAATAATTTTTGCTTGCTTCTACCCCAAACCTAAAGATTTGAATCCTCCTGGACTCCGTTTCCTGTTAATTTCTCAGCCTTATCATGTGATAGTGTGAATTTGAAGTTTTTCTTTTTTTTAATTCTTTTCTCTCAAGCTAGGGGGAAATGTAATCCTGTTATCCTTTGATGGGCTACTAAGCAGTTATTCTAGTCTCCTTTTAGAGAGGGCAACTTTGTATCTGCATTTCTATGTATCTGTAGGGAGAGGTCCCAGCTAGGTCAGCCCAGTCCTCCTGAGCACCAGATGTTCCTTTGATTCTCCTTTTGCAACAGTGTTCCCATCTCCCCCTTTTGTAAATATAGGATGTTTTGGTTTTGGAGATGAAAGATCTGAAGTTTTTATAATTAGCAGTAAGCTTACTTTTCCATATACTTTTGCATATGGAACAGTGCATGGGGTTCATGTGCAAGCCACTCACCAGCTCTCTACCTTGGGAAAGTTAATTAGCCTCGATGAGCTCAGGTCAGTTGTTTGCAGTTTGGGAGTAACAGTGATGACATCACATGAGTAAATGATGGAGGTGTATGAAAAGCTCCTTGTCAATTATCCAGTTATTTCTGTTCTACTCTACTCTACTCTACTCTACTCTATTCTATTCCTATTCTTCAAACCCAGACTACACCCTTATTTATTTCCAATGCCTCCTGAAGTCAGCCCTCAACTTACAGTACTTCAGATATTTTACATCAAGGGTATTGAGTAGGGTGGTCTGTATCTCTTTTCCCTACCACACATGCTGTATTTTGGAAGCTAAACTCTCCCTCAGGATATATGGCTCTTAAAAAGCCGTGTTTTCAACTCACCTTTGGCTTTGGATTCCCACTCACTCTGCACGTGAAAGTTACAGGCATTCCCTCAAAGATCTTGTAGTGTTTCAGCTTCATCTCAAAGAATGGTGCCGCTCCGTTTTCCCCAGGCACGTCCCCGTACTGAATGTCATCACCCGACTCATCCACGGGAGACCTTTCCAGCCTGTACTCGATTTCACTGATGAGTCTCTGTTCACAGCTGGAGACTTTGTATTCCTGTATCAAACAGAGCAACAGCCTGTTATCCACCCCAGCCCCTCGTGGTACAGTGTGTCATGAGTCTCGTCCCCTCTCGCATAGGCACGCAGGCCCTCAGAAGACAATGATACTGTTACCACAAGGCCTACAATCAAGTCTGAGCCCACCTCAGTTCCACATGAAATGGAAAACATCTGGAGGTAAGTATGTATGATATTTCAAATTATCTTCATCCAAAAAACTATGAAGATTAATTTCTCTTTTCTTTTGGTGGGCAGGGAGAAAGGCAATGGCTGTGTTTCCCTAAACTGTTCATAAAAATAAAGCATGCCAGAACACTGATTTCTCCCCAGGTGGAAGCTGATGTGGGGGTACACTTCCCCAGAGGGGCAGCGGCAGTGCTTGGCCAGCGCCGGCTTCTGCAGAGCACCTGCTCAAACATCATGGAAGAGATGGCACCACGATTTTCTTTCACCTAGAACAGTCCTTAGCCACATAGCCTATGGACTCCTCCTCAGCTCTGCAGCTACTGGGAACTAGTTTCCACCTTCTTTAAAAGAAAAATAGGAGTGACAGTCCAATCAAAATGTTGGTTAAAAAAGCCAAAGCAAAGCAGAGCCCCCGTCATCAGGCCATGGTGACCGAGGTGGACTCTACAGGCGCTGGCTTACCAAGTAAATGAAGACAAGGCAGCCCAGGAGAAGATATTTTTACTCAATATTAAATAAAAGAATTGTCTTAACTGGTTGTCTCTGAAAGAAGTCACTCAGCCTTTAAAAAAACAGTTTGTTGGCTTGAGAGAGAAAAGTGCAAAAAATACAGGTTGTTTTGTTCTAATTCCTATCAAATGAATCAGTTTAATAATTAGCACTTTTTTCCTAGAGAGAGATAACAATGAGAAACTTTTCACAATTTAAAGTTCAGAGTATCTACTAATGACAATCGAATTCAAGTTTGTAATAAATGACAAGAAAAATCACACTGCAGTAATTTTGTTCATCTGATGTTAAATGAAAACAGACACTGTATTAAGACATAGCATTTAGAGTTCATACATGGCAGTAGACGAGAAAGAGCATCAGAAAGTAGATACAGTGAAAGACTGGAAAGAGAAGAAAGGTGAAAAGCTTAACCTTTTGACCATCCAGAGGACTCCCTACAGAAGCATGAGGAGACCCAATTTCCTGTAATGGCAGAAAAAAAGAAGTGAAGACTAATAATAGAAGTAAGAATCTAGCAAGATTTCTACTTTAGTGAGATTTTTGCAGAAGTTGTATTTAACATAAAAACTTTCAGATCTTTTTCTCAATAGAACAAGAGTTTATTTGACCCTTTACATTCATTTCCTTTAATATGGAGACTACATCTGGAAACAGAAGCAGCGTGGATTAAAAAAGGCTTCCATCAAATCCACAAAGTGACTTTTTTGATGGTAGCAGGAGAACAAGAATAGCATTTTAGGCATTCTGTTGACTAGTGATTTATAGCTATATAAGTGAAGGAAAATAAAGACAGTTTCTCTGTACATAAATATTTTACTTTGACTCGATATTAAAAATGTAATTAGAAATAGTCACTAGTTACTTTCAACAATTTCAGGGAAAATAGTTACTCCACACAAAACTATTTTATATGAAAGCACAGGACAGGAAAAACAGAGTTATTGAAAGGAGAATAAACTGATCAATACGAAGGTAAAAAGAACAGATTTCACTGACTGACTGAAATAATTCTATCCATCATTTAACACAATGTCTGACACACAGTAAGTGCTCAATAAATATAAATCAAATAATGCTTTTCCTTGACCTGCCCCGTACTTGCCACAGAATTGATCCCAAGACTAGTGTCCCTAAAGCGTATGGGGAGAGGAGACATATAGCTGTTATTTTTCTAAGAAGTCCAGAGGAACAGGGTACCTGGTTAGCCGTTTCCTCCTCTGGCTCCTGAATGTTAAAGACAGTTGCACTGTCAGCACCGAGTAGTCGGCGAGCCATTCTTTCTTCATACGTTAACCTCTAAACAGAGTAAATCACACAAAAAAACACAAAATTAGGAAAATCACAGTTGTATACTGCTTCATGAAAAAGAATGAAAACCCCCAAACAAACGAGTTTTGCCGTTTCTGTGACCCTCTCTCCACCTTTAGACACCGGCACGTAAAAGGCGTCTGTTTCTCGCCTTTGCTTCAGTGCCCTGCCTTTCTCCTCCCCTCCTGGTCCTAACACCCGAGTCAGGGAGATGGGGTAACCAATCTCGAGAGCCACCAACTGATAGAACACTAATTCAGGACGAGTACAATAAGCAACAAGGCAGAAACCACACAGAAAATGTGTGTCGTGAACTTGTCCTTAACAATAAACTTTTAGACTAGCTGGCAGTGATGGTCTCCTTTGCTTTGGCGGGGTGGGCGGAGGGGCGGTCTCACCTCCAAGAGCATTTTTCTAGGTTGCTGTGTAACATCAGTGACTGCAGGCGGCTAGAATAATCCACAAGAATGACTGCACAGGGCTGTTAGCAAAAGGACTGTGAAGGACACTTTCTGATGCTAATGCCCACAATTCATGATTCTCCTGAGGAAAACTGCTTGCCTAGCAAGCAAAGAAAGCGGTCATGTTTTTGCATCTAGCAACCAGTGCTTCTGCATTTGGCCAAAACCATTTCTGCTGGGCCGTCCTGGTACAAAAGCAATGCCAGCATTTTCTGCCTACTGGGCTGATCCTGCTCTTGAGTGTTGGCCCTAAAGTGCCTCAGAAGTAGAGGTCTGGGATGAAATCTGAGAGAGCCAGGGGCATTTCACAAACAGCTATTAGACTGAAAATAGAGAATAATTACTAAGGATCTCAAAAAAGAGAACAGAAATTATTTTAGATAAACTTCCAAACTTCTGAATATGGATACAAATTCTATTGGAAACTCTCTAATCAAAAAAATATGTTGGGTAAATTTATAATTTCCAGTAATTGCTGGTTCCAGTCCCAGCTGAAACCGGGAATAGAAGTCAGTCAAGTGCCAAATGACAAAAAGCCCTGAAGTTCAGATGATTTCATTTAGTAAAGAAGGGGAAGAGGACAAGAGGTGGAAGTAGGCGTTTGGTGCATGGGATGTCTCGGTCTAGTATGCTATTATTTAAATTAATTTTTATCATGTTTCTTTAAAAAAAAATCAATGAATTTAATTTTCCAAGAGAGTTTTTAAGGCTCCCTTAAAAGCCTTCCTAATGTTTTCACGGAGAACTGTATCCACATTAGAGGGGAAACTGGAGTAATTTCCACTCTGTTTCTCATAAGCAGAATATCAATTTGATATCGAGTCCTTCAGCAGAACACGCCTGCACCATTAGAAGCCGAATTTACTTCACAGTTTTGTTCCTAAGCACTATGCCATGTGCATATACACAAGCCCTGTCTTTGGAAGCCAAAAAGAAATAACAGAATAACATGTAACATGAGGAAAAAGTTGTCTGAGGGTCCCAGTTTCTAAAAGGGGAAACCTTACTTTTCTTGTCCTTTCAAACTCTCCAATGTGGAAATTTATGGAACTTACTGTGAATGTCATTCACTGTGAATTATATATATAAATACACACACACATGTATACTTACAAAAAACATATAACAAATAAATGAAAATACTACATACATAATATATATATATAGTATTCTATAATAGCATATAGAAGTCTTACTTTAACCAAAAGAATTTTAGTCCATAAGGAATATTTAAGCAAACAATCAAAGAGGAAAAAAGAAGCAAAAAACTGGAGAGATGCCATTCCTTACCTGGCCTGAAAAAAGTTCCTGTAAGTACTTGTTTTAATCTTTCAAAGGCTTCAGTTGACAGAGCCAGAGAAAACACCCAGAGCATGTACATGTACACACGCAATCACTTACTTCAGGGAGGAAACATGTCCCCTTTGTGGAAACCTGCTGTTCTCGGTGAGAGGAACAGCTAACACATGGTCTCGTTAGAATGTCAGTCTTCTGGAACTCAGATGGAGGATGCCCGAATAGTTAAAATCAGCATCCCGTACCCCCCGTCTATTCCCCACCTTTCCAATCAAACGTGGACTGTTCTCACATTTTTATTTTATCAATACTTGATAATTAAAATTCCTAGAAAATGTAATTAGCATAGAGAGCTTCTGCTCTGAAAAAGGTGTCCGAGAGGGAGGTTTATACAGAGGCCCTTTCCTCTTGTACCTAAGAGCCAAGCAGATTTCCCTGGTGCGAACTCCATAATAAAGCCACACAACGGCTCCTTTCCTTTGCCCGGGAAACCTTATTTGCTAGACTTGCTCTTCCTGTCCCCATAAAACATTCTGATGTGATAAGTGATAAGAAAAGGGTCAGTAAAAAACAAAAGAGCCCAAACAACTGATGAGGAAATATGTAAGTCCAGTGGAGAAAACACCATAAATCTATCTATCTATCTATCTATCTATCTATCTATCTATCTATCTATCTATATTTATTTTTTTAACCAGACCTCTGTATCTACTGTACAATCCCATGGCCTTCAAACATCATTATTTTTCCCCTGAGTTGAGCTGTCTTGCTCTACAAACCAGAGGGAGATTGTCAGACCAGCCTTACCCCTCGGGTTGCTGAATCAGTGTCTAGTGACCGTCCAGGAGGAGAGGGCTGGTCACTCCCTCAGCCAGGATGCCCGGGTGCGAGCAGCACACTCTCCCTGTGGTGCTTGAGCTCCCCCTCACTGCTTTGGGGGAACGCAAACCGCTCCAGAGCACACCTCCCTCCCTCCCCACCCCCACCCCCCAGCAATGTGTTCCTTTTTCTTTTAACCTTACAGCTCTGCATTTGTTCTACCCCAGACCTTCAAACCAGCCCTTCCTTTATCTCCAACTTGCTATCTTGACTCCAAGAGTAGTTTCTGGATTAACAGAAGGAAGCCATTTCACTCTCTCCCTTTTCCCCAGATTCAAGTCATACTACTAAGAGAGCCGTTGAGGTTCAACGGTAATCCAGGGAAATCTGTGGCCAGATCAGCCCCGGGGCGCAGGGGAGAGCCGCGTGGGGCTGACAGGGCAGCGGAGGCCCCAGACCTCGCAGTACCGGCTGGCCGTTGTTCAGGAGGTCCTCCTTGAAGCGCAGCTTCCTCTCCAGGTCTTGGATGACAGCATCCTTGGTGCCCTGGATCTCCTCGTCAGAGGCTATCCTAGCGGTTCGGTTGGCCTTCTTTGGAAAACCCCTGAGGACAGAAGCACAGGAGGGGCAGTGTTGTCAGGCAGATGCATCCAGGTCCATGTTCAGGTCCAACAAAGAGCGCACAGTCTGCCTGTCTCTCCCCTCTCTTTTTCTTTTTTTATGCTACATCTATTCCAACTAATTATGGAAAGAACCCCGAAAGCTGGATTCACTGTTCAGGGAACACTAACTGGGACCAGTCCTCAGAGGAGGTTCAGAGACCTTAGGGGCACGCGCCTCAGGGCTGAGACAAAAGCCACGGACAGGGAGGGCCTGCGTTTCAGCTCCCGGAAGGCGGAAGCATGATGTGATTTGTAATCAGACCTCGGCTTACAATCGGGCTCTGCCTTGTGTTCGTTTTGTGACTGAGACAGTTTCTTAACGTTTCTGATGAACGGGAGTAAAAACATATACCACATCTGACTGCTGAGAGGATTTGAAAGAGAACATATTTCTTTTATCCTTTTATAAATCCAATCGTCCTGATCCTCCTTAGGGAATTGACTCAACAACAGCACTGAGCCCACCCTAAGTGAGTGTTTTGTTACCATCCCTCTGGCCTACCTAGATTGGGAGGGGGAGGGGCCTGTTACAGGGCGGGGCCTGTTGCACACTGGAGGACCTGGAAGGTCTGCAGGTCCTGCAGTGCTGGGTGCCTCCCGAGGCCCCTAGAGAGCCTGGGGTCCGAAGGCAGGTGACCTTCCCAAGGTCGGAGCAGAGCCCGGAGCCACGCGGGCCAGGCCCCTGGTACTAGGTGCTGCAGTAGCAGAATCCACTTTTGTTGGTTCCGTAAGCAATTTGTTTCCTATTTCTCTTCCTTTTTGCTCACAAGCAGTGGGTAAAGATTAGGGAGAAATGGAATGAATACCTGTCCCATCGCCTCCTGGGGTCCTGCTCCTAGTCTTCCCAACGGCCACCTTTTCTCCTGTCTACTCCCCCTTGTTTCCTGCTGAACTACCTCTGATTTTGGGGGGTGTTTATCCTTCAGTGTGCTTGGAAAAGAGGATCCCCGTCTCTCTCCAAACCCAGGGGGTGAAGCTAAGTCAGTCTGAGTGGTCTCCACCCCTTGGACATGATGAGCCAGAGGCTGTGACTGAGCCCTGGCCCATGAGACTGGGGAGGGAGGTAGGAGGGTGCGGGGGCGGGGCTCCGCTCAACATCGGTTTCCACCCACAGGAAGGCTGTCTCCTTTCAGGGCTCCCACCGTGTCCAAGTGTCGCGCCCCACCTGCTGCAGCGCCATGGCCGTGAGGGGAGCCTGCGGCGTGCCAGTGATGGCAGCTCGGGAGGAGCCTGGGCCCCTGGCTGTTTGGGGGACACTGTGTTAACCTACCATGGAGCTGCCACTCCCGCTTGTCACGTAAAATGAACCTTATGCATTTAATCTGGTGCCTGAGTCTTCTGTTACCTATAATGGAAAAACCCTAACTGATAGCTTTTCCAGGTCCTTCTTTTGTAGTCATTTGCCCCTGAAGTTCAAACAGGATGATGTTAGACATTGGCTTAAAAAAAAAAAACTACAATAAAATATGGTAATATCCTGTTAGTAATGTCAAAGTGGTTAGTCAAACTTTAAATTGTATCCGGGGAATGGATCTTGATTTTTAAGGAGATGGAACATATTAATAGCAAAGGCCATAGGAATTATGATTTATAACTTCAATTTTTAGTACCATGCAAACCTTTAACAAAAAATGCACACAGTTTGCCAACTTTCCTAAGCCTGGAGCCTCTCTCCCTCACTCTTTCTCAGGACAACTCACCAGCCCTCAGGCTTCGGATTAATGTCTCCCTGGAAAGGAGGACCCTGACTAAGTCGGCCTCATTAGCTGTTGTACCATGTTTTCTTCATAACCCTTATCACACGTTAGCATTCCATGTTCTGTTTAATTGTCTCCCTCTCTCCGAGCCTCGTGTTAATCACGGGGCTTGTCAAATAGCATTCCTAAAGTGAGTGAGTGGATGTTCCTGTCCACCTCCACGTCTGACCTCTCTCTACGTTCCCTCCTCAGGCAAGAAAACCTGTGCCAGAGCCATGGGAAATCAAACCACATGTAACCAGGCAGGCTCAGAACAAGTAAAGAAATCACCCAGCTTTGGAAATAAAGTTCTTCGTTGCTCTTGACTGCAGCCCTGCATCTGAGACCTGGAAGAGCTGGGCTGAAGTCACCGAGAGGTAGCATTAGAGACAGCTAGCTCATCGCACGTCCCCGTTATTACTCTGCACCTGACAGCGTAAACCAGACACACAGCTATGTGATGGTGAGCGGCCTCGGACGGCAGGAGGCCTTCCTGTCTGCAGGCGGATGCCCAGAGCTGTCTCTGCACAGGTGAGAGTGAGAAGGGCAAGCAGGCAACTGCCAAGGGCAGGACAGACCATCCGAATGAGAGAGGCAGGGAACTGTGTTTTTAAGAAAACAGCCGCAAGTTCTCTCAAACAAGCAGACACCTGTCTATTTACTACTGAATAAGTCCTGTTGCTTAAAAAGCATTTCTCAGTACACTTGCCTCTTTCAGGGGACCCAAGGACAACTGCTCTGGGACACGACACGCAGAGGACACTCACTTCGGTATGGGCTCCCGCCACCCAGGCATAATTTCAGAGTAAGATCGAAACTGCTCCCTGATCCAAATAAAAATCCCCATCATTCTGTTTCTTTTAACAAGCAATTCCCTAAACGTGTGATGAGCACCAGCTCCAGAAGGCCATCTACTCCATCCGTTTCCCCCTATTTTTTAAGACATTATTGCCCTTGACTTACAGAAATTTAAGATACACGTATTCTCTCGATTCTGAACAATTAACACTGAAATGAAAAACAATCAATTGAGAGATTTTTAAATGTCTAATAACCACTGCACAAATATTTCCTGAGCATGTAGCTTGAGTACGGTCTCAACACTATTCTAAGTGATGTGGAGAAGACAGCCAAGTCCTAAAGGACGGTCCTTGATCACAAGAGGTTAATAGTCAAGGTGGAGACTAAATGAAGGAGCAAACTCTGCGGTGGCAATTCTAGGTGCAGCGAGTAAGGAAGCAGCAGGAAGAACGCTGGCCACAGAGGAAGTGCCCGAGATCCTGAAGGATGAGGAGGATGGAGACACGCGGGGGTGGGGTGGGTTCAGGGTCAGCATGACTAAAGGCACACAGGCCAGGATCTCTGTTTGCCACTTAAACGCTGTGTGGCTTGGCCTAGTTACCTAACGGCTGTGCGCCTCAGTTTCCTTCTCCGTGAACTGTGAAATGCAGGTACGAGTAGCATGTGTCTCACAGCATTGGTGGGAAACTGCAGGAGGTGATGTACAGCTGACTTAGGCTAACAGACCCTCCAGCCGGGAAGCGAGTGCCGGAGACCAGACTGCCCAGGGAAACGGAACAAAGGGGGGAAGGATGTCAAGAGATGCCAAGAACTCTGGACCAGAGTTTCCAAAAATGTGGAAATGACCTTTTCTGTTGGACTTTTTAGTGCTCAACTCTGTTCTGGGAATACAATGTTGAACAAAACTAAGTTACTATGCTTAAAAGTATATTCTATGGGAGGGAGGGAGGGAGGGAAGGGCAGGCACGTCAGGAGGTGGGCAGTGTGGACGACGGGAGTGTGAGGAGATGACCACCTGGACAGTGCAGCTGGCACAGGTCTGAGAGCTGCCACAGCCACCGAGGCCCCGCAGGCAGGAGGGCAGCAGTGCGAGGCCTGTGGGGAGAACTGGGCAGTGCAAAGGCCCTGCGGCCAGGAGGAGCCTGGCGCGGCCAACAGGGCCTTGCGAGCCTTGAGGAAAGAGGTACAGGAGGTGCAGGTTCCAGTATTTCTCACTTGTTTTAATATGGAGACTTTTCTTTTTTTTAGAGAGTATTGCATCTGGACTAACGTAATTCACAAAATGCTTTACGAAATTGTGCTAAAAAACTGAGTATAGAGTTAGGAGGTTAGTATATATGGTCTAGGTTAGACACCAAAATGGAGTATTTGGAAGGGGGGGGGGGGCAGGAAAGAAAACTAGTCCTAAGTTTTTGAGGCAAAGTTTTGGTAAATGGGTTTTTCTATCAAACTAATTCTGTGTTAGAGTTTAATATAAAACAGCTGTGGTTTGTTCCCCCAAATGGCACAAAACAACTCCTTAAGAAATCAAGAGTGGCGACTAAGAGATGATTTGTACAATTAAAAAAAAAAAAAAAAAAAGCGCCCTGGCCAGTTTGGCTCAGCGGTTAGAGGGTCCGCCTGCGGTCCGGAGAGACCCGGGTTCGGTTCCCGCTAAGGGCATGTACCTCGGTTGCAGTTTGTCCCCGGCCCTAGTTGGTCGTGCGGGTGGCAGCCACTCGATGTGTCCCTTTCACATCGATGTTTCCCTCTCTCTCTCTTCCTCTCTCTCCCTCCCACTCTGTACAAAAAATGGAAAAATGTCCTCGGGTGAGGATAAAAAAAAAAAAAAAAAAAAGCGTATTCAGAGTCAACTGTTACCCAGACCAGCACCCTTCACAAAACCCGCACTCAGACGCAGCCCGCAGCCAGCAAGCACTCCGGCCAAGCCCCGCACCAGCCCAGCTGTGCAGAGAGCAGCTGTTGTGCTCTGCGTCAGCAGTGCGTCCCTTACGGCTAAAATAGCACTCACGTGGCGGCAGGGCGGGGCTCTCGAGCATCTGGGAGGTAAAATCTTCCAGATTCAACCATCACCAAATCCCAGCAGGGCCCCCCCACCCTCATTTCTTCCCTTGGCTACTGAATAATCTTAAGAGCTTCTTCCCCTTGATGTACTATTTTAGGTCAAGTCAGTCAGTATATTTCAGAAACTTAAATCTCCAGAGTATAACACTGATTTAAGAGGTCATGAGCCTGTCTAGCAACTAGAGAAAAATTTTAACTACTAATAGTCCTCTCATAGTCAGTGATATCTCATGGTAGCAAAATTCCACAAAAGTCCAGAGTGAGCAAAATCATCAACATGTTTGCATTTCGTTATTCCTCATATTCAAAATGTAATATGTGAATCAGTATATAAAAGAGCCCAGGATACACAAACTGAGTTTTGTATATCAAAAGCCAACGCTGTTCGAGTACAGTGAGTACCTGACGTTCAGACTTAAGGAAAACAGATCACTTTATATTAATGTTAACTTCTCTTCACATTACCTTTTGGGTTCTCTGCAGAGTAAGCAAAGAGCCGTCGGGGACTGAACAGGTCTCATTCTGGGCTGCTCCTGGGCAGACGTCTCAACAGAGTTGTCACTGGTCACAGTCACAGCAGACCACAGACCCCGAGACCTCTCTACTGATCTGCAGGGAAATATTTGCCCAGGATTGGATGCCACTTTGTGTAGAATCTTCTAAGACGCAGGACCCCAAGCCCTTCAGGCCTCTGCCTCTAACAGGGAAGACAAGGCCCCCGCCCGCCTGTTTCCTGCAGGAACCACGAGATAACGTTTGCAAAGTCCAGTGCAGCTTTTGTCTCTTCTGTTAGTTACTGTCTAACCGCTGTCTCGACTTGAAAGCTGTCTGAAGTACCTCTGAATTTCTGTAAAAACTTTCCCCAAGCCACAGGCCATTTGTTTCGTTGGTCTGCGGCAGTTTTCTTCAATTAGGAAATACCACACATCGGATTTATTAGAGATAAACCAGGGCAAGTGATTAGAGCTAATGAATACCCTCGCTGCATAAACTTATTCCAGAATCTGGGAAATCCCTTCACCACTTGTGCTTCCCACCTTGAATGATGACAGTGTCCCCACCTACCTGTTTCTTATCAGTCAGGGAGAGAGTGGCACAATGAGATACTATCTATAAACCGCTGAGTGCCTACAGAACAAAAGGGCTCATTAACACATCTGCATAAAGGCTCTAACTGAGACATGCTTTCACTTTGACAAACATGGGGTAACATTGCACACCAAAGCCCTACTTCTATGAGAGAGGCAATGAAGGGTAGACAACACTGTAGCACTTTGACTGATTCCAAGAATGTCAAGGTGGGTGAAAAAACACAGTGCCTCAGGTTCTCGGGGAAGGATCCATGCGCTTCACCCAGAGCTTGGTGCCGCTGCTCAGACACTGGCAGACAGGACTGCAGCACCGTCTTCAGGTGGCATCCCCACACCCTCTGGATCCCACCATCTCAGGGCTGATACACCGGGCGGTGGAGAGGGTGGGGTTACGGCAGTGGACGCTGTAAACCTATCAGCAGTTGTGAGGGGAGCAGAACACATTCATTTTATACACGTGCAAACAGATTTCTTTCTAAGGCACGTTCTCCTTGTGGCCTCCATTTGAAAGATTTAGTCACCTTAACATTTGCGTCTGTCAGCAGCTTTGAGAAGGGCGGTATTTTCTCTGCTAGTGACCCCAGTAACCTTGGGGAAGAATGCAGAAGTCTGAAGAAAGAAAGGCTCAAGAGGAAGGCCACGTGCCGAGGTCGTCAGACTGCAATCAACCAGCAACTGGGTTCTGCTGCTTCCAGGCTGCCGACGCCATCTGTCTTTCGACCGTGGTTTATCACGGGATCCACGGCCCTCACTCCCTGCCTTGACCTCTGCTACCCAGACGTTTGAGAAACAGAACCTTATCTCCACAGACTATTTAGAAAGTTAGTAAATAGCCACCCTATTCTTTAACAGGAACAATGCAGAACACGCAGACAGACTAAAACGGCTAGTATGCAACTGATGATTAAGAAAACAGATATCTGAAATTTGTACTTAAGATTTTGGTAAAACAAGGCAGGCAAAAAAAAAAAAATCAAATGTAATTCTATTTCATGGAGTCCTGTGTAATCAGCCTGTTTCCTGGAGCTTGACACATGGCAGAACCGTCCAATTAGAGAAATAACACACATGAAATTGAATTTGCTGTCATAATGAGCGCAAGTAAAAAAATGAAATATAAAGGAAAGTAATTGAAAAGATTCCTTTGGCAGGTCCTCCAAGTTCTCAGATGCCAATTCGTCACAGCAGCCCTGAAAGGGACACTCAGTCTTCGGCAGATTATGTGGATTGTTATGGATAAATAGCTACCTTTTTTTGTTTTTAATTCAGAATGCAAGCGAGGGATCCCACCATTATGCCAGAGGAAAAAATGTTCTAAAAGTCCCATGTATCAAACCCAAAGAAAGGATTCAAGAATGTGATTTAGCAATGAAAACTTCTTGAAGACAAAGGACAACCATATCGCGATGGCTGGTTAAGCTCGCACAGAGCCACAGATCCGCTGGCTGGGTCGCCACGTATCTTTGGTGTCACAGCAACTAACCGTCTTTGGGGAGAGTTTTGTATAGCCACAAAATCAGCATGACTTCTCCATTAACTTTAAAGAAATGGCAAGGGCTACTGGATTCTTGTGGTAACAACTGTAAAATATTTTGACTCCATGAAATGAGTAATTGTGATACATGCCGATAAGAAGCAAGTGCTGCCATTACTTGAAGTAAACTCTTAAAATTGTTTATCTTCTTAAGAGAATTTCAAAGTCTGAGAACAGACTAATCCACTGTTTCTACTTAGGATGATAAAAGGCATGACCACCCAATGACTTGGACAGACTAATCTTTGATCAAGTCCTATATGAGGAACAGTAAGTTATTTACACAGTACTTATCTTCTTAGGAAGCAAGATTTGGTACCATTTCCTAGGAAGAGAAGATAAAGTGTCATGTAACAAACTCCCACTTTTTGAAACTAACAGTTAGTGTCTTTGTATCAAGATAATACTTCATTTCCTAGCAGCCAAATAAAACCTCAGAGAAGCAGGGGAGAGAGAGAGAAAGGTTTTCTCGGGCTATCTGACTGACTCCACTGTCAACAGAAGCCCATTACCACATCATTACTATACAGACCCCTCCTTTATTCCCCTCGTGTGTATTCATCTGACTGAACTTTTTCCAGTAACGACTTGAGAAGAAGCCAGATTTCAAACTTAGAATTTATGTAATCACATGTAGAAGGTCCCTAACCAAACAAGACATTGCCGACCTGAAGCTCCTTGACATACACGTCGAAGTTAAACACAGCAATGCTCCTCATTCTCAGGCAGCGTCAGCGCGCCCCAGAATGGACAACTCTGTATCGAGGAAGAGAACCTGCATTCTCAGGTCTTCTCATTTGTATTCTTCAGTAGGGTTTCCTTCTTTTCTCTCTGAACAATATTGGGATTCTGGCAAACCCTGAAGTAGGATTTCGACAGGAAGAGGTGAGATAGGGGAACTGGCTTCACCTCTGCTAGCACGTCCCGATCGCTGAGCTCATTAGTAACATAAGCGTGAGCGAGCTTTTACACAACCTACTCTTCAACCAGACATGCCGACCACCTGCACGATGTTTCTCTGGAAGGCTTTACTGTATTTTTGTGGGTGTCACCATATTTATCCTCATAGATTTTCTATTTAAAGATTTCAGAGGGCCTCACATCATCACTATGATACAAGGAAAGACAGGTATTAGATAATATGCAAATAAAGAGACAGAGGATCCCTGTCAGCTCCCAAGAGATCACTGTTGACTGGGGACAGACTGGCTCCACCCTTTCCACTAGATTGCTTGATCCCTCACCTATCGCACAGACAGCATAAAGATATTTACATGTCCCGCCCCCTCCCAGTCAATCACTACATAAGTGCAAAGGCTTCTTAATTCTGTTAATTTAGATAGTTCAAAAAATATTAAGTGTATACTTCATAACCAAGCTTCTACACCTCTGCTGTAATATTGATCTGAAATATTCATGTGCATAGTTTAGTGGTGTGAACATGGATTTGGAGTCAGAGAGGCATGGGTGGCTTCACATCTCAGGTTGGTGGCTAAGTGACCCTGGGCAAACTGACACTGGAATCCTCGGTTGAAGGTGAGGAAATCCTCTCTTAGAGGTGTCAAAGGAGAGAACGTAAGTGAATTGCACGGTGCTCCAGTAAATGGTAGCTGATGCCACATCATCAGATTTCAGAGCATGGCTTAGACTTTAGCTAGTTCCCCAGAGGACCTCTTACTTAAGGCAGAGGAGAGTGTTGATCTCAGCAACAGGAAGGTGGCTATGCAAGAACACCTTGGTAAAGTTGCTGGTGAAATTTTAAATAATTTAAAAATTGGATGAAGGTAGTATGTGAACACGTTACCATGGTTCCCCTGGAGCTGCAGGTCAATGAGCGCACTTTGATGGGTCATGGGGAAGGGGCAAGACCCCTTGGGGGGAGCGGGTGTGGGAGGGCGTGCGGAGTCACTTACACCGGGGTGACGCCCTTGGGCAGGCCCAGGGCGTTGACAGCGACAGGCGGCGGCTGCGAGGGCAGCAGGGCGCTGAGGAAGGCTGCCGGCGTCTGGCTGTGGCCGAAGCGGGCAGCGGGGGAGGCGCAGTGGGAAGCCGGGGCTGAGCTCGGGAGCGGCGGTGGCGGCGGCGGCAGCGGGAACACGTCGGGCACCGGAAAGGCCGTGGTGGGGCTGAAGACCGGGGGCGGTGGCGGCGGGGGCGACGGCGAAGACGGACACCACGGGGCCTCGGCCTCGGGGCCAAAGGGCTGCCCGAAGGGGGGCGCGGGCGCGCGGCCGAAATGCTTCGGGGTTGGGGACATGGGAGAGGGGAGGCTGGAGGAGCTGGGGCTGGAGGCCGGCGTGCCATGGCTGGACGTGGGGCCCAGGTTCTGCGCGGCGATGAACTGCTTGGGGCGCGCGTAGTTGAAGGAGCCGGAGGACTGCATGGCGGGGGCGGCGCGGGAGGCGAGCGCGCTCATGGGCTCCAGGGCCGCGGGCGCGCAGGCCGCGAGCTCGGGGAAGGCGGGCGGCGGCGGCGGGAAGGGCGGCGAGGGCGGCGCGCTGCACGGGGCGCTGGTCGAGGGGTGCCGCACGCTGGCCTCCTGCTCCAGCCGGATTTGGTTCTGCAGCTGCTGGATTTTCAGAGGGTCCCTGGGAAGACAGAAAAGTGACACTTTCAGAGAGGGAACTTCTTGGAAGGAACGTTCATTTGGTGCAGTGAGGTGCGGTGCCTGCCAACTGCACCCGGTACCCAGTGAGTGAGGCACAAGTCCTAGCCTGGCGTGCGCTGCCCGTAGTTAATTCTGGACGAAGAGCTAGATCAAGCCAGTGTGATCTCTGAGCTCCATGTCTATCGAAGTTCTACCTGACGACTCAAACCGGTTCACAAATCGCCATGGAAATTGTCTGGCTTCCAGGAGCCACGTTTCCTTTTCAGAGAACCAGAAGTATTAGAAAAACTTTTGACGTGCGTCTCAGTCTTCTCATTTGTAGCCAATTTTTGGTCAAAGAATTCTATCAGAATGAGAACATTAAACGAGAAAAAACACGGGATCTAAGTTGTTTTTGGCAGATATGGGTTAGTCCAGTTCGCCTACTCACTGCTGTCAACTCTGCCTTACAGCAACACCACAGGCTGCTTTTGGGGGTGGGGTCTACTCTTATGTCTGAAACTGTTCCCGAAAAACATGCAACAGTTACTACACCTGAAATTTTAGTAGTAGTCTGAAATGCCATTTTTTAAAATACAGACTTTAATAAATATTGACACTGGTAAGAAATACCTAAAACACATGCAAACAATATTGATCGTTAACATGTAGGTGTTCAATAAGCAATGACAAATGATTGATTTTACAATAATGCAGTTTTAATTCCCCAAGTACTTTCCACCGAGAAGAGATTGAATTTTAATTTTTGAATTAAAATTTTAAATTAAATTGCTTTTTGAACTTTTAATGTTAACGATTAGCTAAAATCTTACTCTATTATCCTCTGAAGATTTCCCTCTTAACTAAATTTTACATCCAAGATGCTTTCCATTATTCACTGCGATAGTGACCAACAGCTGTCAAAACAAACTTCAGCAGAAGGTGGCACTATAACAAGCAGATAAAACAGGACAGAGTCCATGAACAGGCAAAGCTATGCTCCCAACTGCAAACCTTTCACAAATTTCTTATTTTATGGATTTATTTTTTAGAGAGAGAGGGAGAGAGAGAGAGAAGAAGGGAGAAGGAGAGAGAAACAGTGATGTGAGAGCGAAACATCAAGATAGGCTGCCTCCTGCACACCCCATACCAGGGATGGAGCGCACAACCCAGGCATGTGCCCTGAGTGGGACTTGAACCCACAGCCTTTCAGTGCACAGGACCCACTGAACCACACTGGCCAGGGCCCAACTTTAAACCTTTTAAAACTAAAAAACAAACAAACAAACAAAAAAACACAACCACCGCAAAATCTTTATCCATGAGTATTTAATCTTCAAAATAAAGTTTTTAGCAATTCAAAGCAATAACAGGAATGGAAGCTGCTGGTAAAGGTAAAAACAAGATTTGGATCTGTCATCAAGTATCATTAGCTGTGGGAACATCAGCAAACAAGTTTTATATTCCTCCCTGTGTCTTCGCTTTGCTTCTGCAATTATCCAGTCAAGTAATACACTTAAATCCATGAAAAGACAGAGCAAGGAACACTTTTTGGGGAACTGAAAAGTATAAAGAGAAGATGGTTCCAAACGAATGCTTAATCTGTGCAGAGCATCCAAGGTTCCAGCACCAAAGAACTCTGTGGGTCCCATGGAACTTGCTCTTAGCATTTTAAAAGCATCCATGGCACTGCTGGAATTCACCAGGACACCGAAGTCCAGATGTCTGTGTGGTTGGGGTAGACTGTCCAGCACATGTGCTTCTGTGCTTAGAACTGACCCAGGAATAGAACTCATAAAAACCACCCACCCGCTCTGAAACCCATCATCCAGCGCTCTTGTTCCGATTCCCCAAATGCTCCTTTCTCATCTCCCTGCCTTCACCATCTCCTTCCTATTTCCTAGCTAAAGCAATATGCATTCTATTCCTGGAATGTTCATCATCAGCATTCACCTCTGTGTGCACCTGGGCTGGGAGTGGACTGTGTGGTCCCCCCACCAAAGCCACCGCACCCCTACTCTGGGCCAGCCTGGGTTTACAACAGCCAGCGTCTCAGCTGCATTTTAAAGTATTTTAAGCTTGGTCTGGCATTAGCAAATAGTTGTGTAATGGCTCTGGTGGGGCTGCTACACACATCATATCATACCTTGTATGTGGGGTAAGGAGTCCTCTACCCAGGGACTAGGGAGTGGCTCCTGCGAAGCCAGTCTTCAAAGAAGCCAGAGCGGGAAAGCCCAGACCACCACTACACTGGTTCTAACTTTATGGGGTTCAGCCCACTCATTCGGGCATTAAAATGAACCACTGAGTCTGCTAACCCAAGTGGGCTCAAAGCTGCTGAGATGCTACTTTTAGTCATAAGTGACAATTCAAGAAGGGATTAACGTAGCATTTCACAAGAAAGGACAGGCATTCCAGTGTTTTGGCTACTAGCGTGCACTGCAATGGGCATCCACGCTCTCCCCTTTTGCACTGGGTTAGGGACACGATACTAGGGAATCGAAGGGGTGGGGGAAGAGAGAATCAAACAGTTATTTTGAATCTTCAAGTGTCTGACTTGGTTCCTGTGCAAATCATCATTTAAAAAATCCTCGAATCCAATGGGTCTGACACCTGGATTCTGAGATGATGAGATGCACAATTCTAAGCCGTTTTCTCAGTCCTCATGTTTTCGGTCAAGTTGATTTTACTGAGCCAAAAAGGCAAAGGGAATGAAAGGTACCAGAAAGTGAAGGTTTCCTATGGCCTTGGGAAATTACTGAAAAGTTATTTATTATAAAAATTCATCACTTTTATGGTTTCCCCATTTTTTTCTGCTGCCCTTTTCTCTGAAAATGAAATAAAATGAAACGGAACTGCACCTCTTGGAAATACTGGGAAAAGGTGGAAATTTTAGTTTAAGAGTTCTAGACAACTCTGGTTGCGACTATACTTTGAGTGTCATAGTTTCAAGCCTTCAGTTTCGCATACCTACTCCATCAAAACCCACCCAGCTGTTTTTTTTTTTTTTAAAAAACCTCACCTGAGGAGATTTGCCCATTTATTTTCAGACATTGCGGGAGGAAGGAAAGGAGGGAGGGAGGGGGGGAGAGAGAGAGAGAGAAAGACAGGGGAAAACATTGATGTGAGAAAGACACATGGATTGGTTGCCTCCAGCACAACCCTATGCAGGGCCCAGACTGAACTGCAACCAAGGTACATGCTCTTGACTGGAATCGAACCCGTGACTCTGGTTTGCAGGCCTATGTTCCAACTGCTGAGCCAAAGTGGCCAGGGTTCCCACCCAGCTTTTCTTCCCTCTCCTACCACACCCCAAATTCAAAAAGGACTAAGAAATTCCCCATTCTTACCCCTCCTTCCATTGTAAAGGTTTCAATACTTAAGGAAATGAGATGCCTCCTTTTTTTTTGGTCATGTACCTGTCACAGTCCCTTGACAAATGGGAAAGGAATTTAAGTAACTTGCTTAAGGTCACAGAGCAAGTTACCTGCCTGAGCCAGGAGACCAGTCCGTCCCTGGCTCCTTTCCCTACACACCAAACGTGTCCACATAAAAGAACCTTGACCTAGTACTAGACTGTGGTGGGGAGCGGTCGCTTCATAAGTTATATAAATGTCTAACCACTGTGCTGAACACCTGAAATGATATAATATTGAATGTCAACTGTAATTGGAAAGACAAGTTTTACAGAGAAGTAAAAAAAAACCCTGAGCTTCAAGATGATTTTTAAAAAAATCTATGGTCGTCTTTCCTTCCTAAGGATTTAACTCTTAGGCCTCCTTGTAGCCATAGCAACCAGGGCCTTTAGGTCTGAGTCACCAGTCGAGGTTTTAAATATTTACATATTTAAGAATATCTGACTTCAAAGTTGAGTCTTTTTAGGGTGAAGTGGGGCAACTGTAAGAGGATCTTGGCAGCTCAGGAAGGGAATAGGTCAATACGAACTCAATGGATTCTCCTCCTACATTACAGAAACTCAAGATGCCCTTTCCCCCCCAACAACGGTGTAGACACAGATTTTAACAAGAACAGTTTATGGACAGTCAGATGGGGCAAAGACTCATGTTTGACAGAGAGACCTAGACCTGACTCACTTTCCATCACTCATCTCTCCTGCCCCCAGACTAAAGCAGCCTCGGAGAAAGGAGCAGCCAAGCGGCCGTGCGATACAGGAGAAAAAGGCTGGACTCGCCCTTGGAAGGCACTGGCTGGGAACAGGACTCCGCCAGCTCCTACCTGTGCGGTGGTCGTCTGGGGCCCTGGGGCATAGTAGGAGCTCAATAAACGTTCCACAGCAAAAGAGAACAACCCATCCATCCTGGTTATTTCACAAAAAGGAGGTTTAAACAATGGAGATCATGTTCTACTTACTGCAGGGAATTTTCCTCTTCGTCCGTCTAGCTGCAAGGCACTGGCAAGGGCAACACCAGTGGCCCACGGGGCGTGGGGAACCAGAGGTGAGGGCGAGGTGGCCGGCCTGCCTCCGCTCCTCATCCTCTGCTCCCTCGGCCACAGCGGGGGTGGGAGTCAAGGGACAGCACTGATCATGCTCCTGACACTGGACTGACTCATTTACAGTCAGTGGGGGAGGGGGTGTAAAGATCCCCATTTTTAAATTCCCCATAGGTTAGTGAGGTCAAGTAACCTGTCTAAGGGCAGAGCTGGTCAGCTCCAAAGCCTCATGCCGCAGCGTTCTCTCCAAAGTGCTCAGGAAAGAAAAAAGGTTTATAAGAATGTTAGTCATGGTGACTACATATCATTTTTCCCCCCTTTGGGGAACTGCTACCCACGCTCAAAATAAAGGATGTGAAAGTCAACTTCTGGAAAACCACTTTTATGTAAATTGGGAATTCCCAGGGTGTCTCTGGAGCAATGTCTGGATGGCAAGAAGTAATTTATCCCCTGCTCATACAAAGAAGATGGAGTATGCATAATAGTCTGGAGAAGCTCTTGGGGTCACAAAGTTGAAACACATTCGTGCGTTCGGAGTAAATATGCTGT